AGCATGCTGTCGCCGATGGTGTTCGGAATGCGGCTGCAGTTCTCACAAATCACGCCGGTGACTTTTTGCCCCCAAAACCGCAGGTCCAACATCATCGTGGTACCTGCTCGTGGACATGCCCCGCGTAGCGGAGATGCACAGGCTGCCGATGGCCAAAAACTGATGGAGCGTGTCCGGGAGAACAAGGATGGCCTTGGACTGTCGGAGATGTTGGAGGGCATGTCGCTGGACGGGCTGAAGGACCTCTATCGTTTGTGCTTTGGGCCGCGAGCGCCGGGAAATAGCAGGTATGTTTCACGAGAAGCTACAGCGATTTCTTTTGTCCATATTGTCAATATTCTTGAGGTGGTAGCGCTTATTACAGAATGCATCGCTTAATTGCCGTAGTATTTGGTTTTTTTCCCCGTTTGGTACTCTGCGATGATCATGTTGCGTTTTGTGCGAGAAGAAACAGTGCTTCCGTGAGGCACTACGAGAAATCGTTTCTTGGTTTTTACGCAGGGGTTGTACTTGTCATAGTTCCACCGCACATTTGAAGTTGCTCCATTGAGGGCTGAGAGGTAGCTCGAGACTATTGCAGTAGTTGATTCAACAGGTATCATTATTCATATCGAAAACATCGACAGCTATCCGCACGTTTGTTTTCCGTGTGGGGGAGTAGTCGAGATCGTCGGAAATATGGACGCCCGCCATGTGCGTCCAATTTATGCATTCGGGCCGGGTGTTTCGCTCGTCAAGGCAACGTCTGCTGCAAACCTCCAAACTTATCCATCTCACATCTCAAGGAAAGATTCGGGACGTCGAAAGTGCATGTGCACCAATGTGGGAACCTTTCATTTATCGCGCAGTGCGAGACATGCTTCCTTTTTCCACGCGAAGTAGGGCGTGTTTGCATACAGCAAAGAGCAATTGCACTGCCATGAGCACCGATCGCTCTCCTACAAGATTTTCTGTCGGTCTCTTGTACACTGCCCCCCTCCACTCCCCCCACCCTCAGGTACCCCAACAGGGTGCTGTTGATTGACCTGTTCAAGACGGTGGAGAAGCTCTGGCGGGAGAGCAACCATGGAAAGGAGGATTGCTCAACGTTCTTCATGGAAAGGGGGGCATGGTTGGTCTCGTCTGGGGTGGAGGGGGGATACAGCCCGGACGGAGTCCAGACGTGCCATATGTTCATGCTGCGGGCGGAGAGCCCCACAGACTTGGCCGTGCTCCTGTTGCACCACGTGGTGAGTGCCCCGTTGTAGAGAAACACATTTTTCGTATTCATCACAAGTGCTCCTACTTGGCATTACAGTGTACCCCCGACTCTTGAAAACAATGAAAGTCGAATGCATTCAATAGATGATGAGCAGGCTTTGAATAACGAAGGTGTCCACATTTTGCATTGGTATAGATCAAATGTGTCATGCCCAAGCAGT